AACGTGTTTCTCCTCTGAGGCGCTTTACACACATTAAACACATTCCAGGTTCTGCTGGTGTTCCTCAGAGCTGCAGCTGAAATGCGCTGGTCATCCAAATGGAGAAACAAACGAATGAAGATGAAGTGACCACTAGAGAGCTACACTGGCTTCTGTCCACATACACGCTAAAACAAAAGACGGTCGGAATGAGTTCTGGACCTGAGAGGTTTCTGATCTGTTCCAGATTACATATAAAGATAAAAAATGGACAAAATTACAGATGAAATTCAGACTTCAGTATGGCTGCTACTGTGGCTATGCTAATGTAATGTTGCCCTGTAAAGCCTGAAATAATCATTTAAAAGTCAGAGACATCAAGCTTTTCACACCACGTCATATGTCTTTGCGTATTAACGTCACACACACACACTCAAAAAGAAGGTCCGGGTCGATGTTTAGGCCTCAAATGATCTAAAAATGAACATTATGATGAAGATATGATGACAATAGTAGATAATTCACTCAAATCCTCAGAAGACATGTCCTTCACCAAGTTTAGACTGAGTTCTCTTTGAGTTCTCTTTCAATCAGCAGATTCATCCACTCGGGGAAGAAGCATAACAGATGATACAGAGTGTTCTTCCACATGTTGGGATGCAGTTACACATTTTCACCATAGAGGTCTCCAAATCCCCAAAGCTTACATAGAGCGACTTTCATTCAAAATGATAAATTACTAGTAAAAGACAAAAGTTAGGTTTTAATGATGTTTCTCTAAAATGCATTACAAGTCTGTTGCATTAATAATGTCATTAACCCATGAAGCCCCTTTCAGTCAGCACATTTCAGTCATGTTACTGAGCAAAATACTATGCTATTATATTGTATTTCATGGCTGTGGGACTGATTCACAAAAAAAATATTTTTTAAAACTTTTAACCTATCATCAAAAAAGTCCCTGTGAAGAAATTAATGTGGACTCAAAATGTTTTGAATGTGACCAGCAGATGGCACAGTTCTGCATTTTCCTTTGCAGGGTCGCCGCTTTAAAGAAGGTAAACGTGCCGTTATTTCTGCAAGCAAAGCACAGAAACCTGGCTTAACTTATTCCCTCAGATTCAGCAGGCTGAAGATTCTACACGAGGGGGCGCAATTAGCAGGAAAACAGCTCTGGTGTTTATCACTGTGCAACATTAAACTGTTAAGTAAATGTTAAACTGTGTAAATACTTTTTGCCATTTTGCTTTCTAAATTAATCTGGATTGTGGATTTAGTCTTTTTATGTGAACTTGTGCCCTTTTTGGGGTGTAACAGACACGATTTAGGTCTTTTTCAAGAAAAGTGTCAGTAGTGTGAGCTGGAGGAAGTGAGTGAATAATTGAATGATATTTTCAGCCATAACAGCAGAAATGAGTGATGTAAAAATCTCTAAATACATATTCAGTATTTCCTCACATATAAAGACAGAGATTACTGAGATGCAAAATCTGATATAGTGAAGTTTTAAAATAATTTAAAAACAAAATTCTAAAATCTTGTAAAAATTATACTGAATCGTCTCATTAAGACTGAGCAGGACTGGAGTACAGGAAGCTCACTGTGAGCAGTGATGGACATTTTTTGACTGAATTGTGTCTTTAAAGCCAACGCCTCTTGACCTTTTCACCCCGTGTTTGTGAGCTGGACTGGCCGCTGGCTCTGAAAGGCTCTTCCAGTCTGGAGAGTTACAGCTGCAGCAGAAATAGCCAGTGTGTAAGCTGATCGGCGGTGAGCTGAGTAAAACTATCGCTCTGACTGCACACAGTGTTCCAGAAAAGCAGTGTCCAGTAAAGCAGCATCCAGTGAAGCAGAGAGGTAAAGCAGTGTGCAGCTCCGGCTTTAATAAACTGGACTTCTTTAATTACATGCTGGGAGTTTCACTTAAACACTTTGACAGACATTCACACTCATAACACTCAGAATGAAGAACTCAGATCAGTTACACTCTCACACTCATCCACAGGCAGTTTTTTACAGCAACAGTCCAGCCAAAAATATAATTCCCCCAGTTACCCCCTTTACCCCAAATGTAACTGATCAGCTGTGTCTGTTGTGATGTAGTGATTGCTGTGGTTGCCATGATTGTTGTGAAGTAGTGATTGTTGCGATGTTTGTTGTTGTGATGTAGTGATTGTTGTTGTGATGTAGTAATTGTTGTGAAGTAGTGATTGTTTTGGTGTAGTGATTGTTCGTTGTGATGTAGTGACTGTTGTGAAGTAGTGATTGTTTTTGTGTATTGATTGTTGGGATGTTTTTTGTTGTGATGTAATGATTGTTGTGAAGCAGTGATAGTTTTGGTGTAGTGATCATTGTTGTGATGTAGTGATTGTTTTGGTGTAGTGATCATTGTTGTGATGTGATTGTTGTGAAATAGTGATTGTTTTGGTGTAGTGATTGTGGTAAGGTTTGTTGTGATGTAGTGTTTGTTGTGAAGTATTAATTTTTTTAATTGTGATGACTGATGTGATAGTTGTTGTGAAGTAGTGATTGTTGTGATGTAATGATTGTTGTTAAGTAGTGGTTTTTGTTGCGTCGAGTGTTTTTGTTGTGAAGTTATTGTTGTGATTGTTGTTGTGAAGCATGTTTTTGTTGTGATGTGATTTTTGTCATGACTATTGTAGTGATCACCACTAAGTTATGGAGTAAGTATGGAGTTAAAATACTCCATTATTATAACAGAGAAAAAAAGCTAAAAGCTGTTTAAAGCTAAAGCTGCGTTTTGATGCTACTGATGTGATTCTAACTGCACGTTTTAAACACATAATAAAGTGATTCTTTAGTTCTCTTTCAACTCCTTTTACTGATATATTGATTTTCTATAGAATAACTATTCAGTCTGGGAGTCCTGAGGAGGAAACAAATCCTGCAGTGACGTCACACTGAAAACATTCTGATAATACAGTGTGGAGTTAAACTGAAACTCCGAACTGGCTCCACATGAACATGCTGTAGTTTTATGAAAATTATTTCTCAAACAGGAATAGAAACTGTGTGGAAAGTGCAGATTGTAAACTTTAGTGTTTGTGTTTATCAGGAGATATTTTATTATCTGAATCTGATTAAAGATTTTGGTCATGTTTTGAAAAATGTCAGACTGCAGTTCTGACTGTTCATACAGCATGGTGCGCAACTGTAAATATAACTATGTAACTATGTAATTACATATGTACAGTATTCTGCAGTGAAACAGTGGAGCTGTGAGCGTTAAGACGACGACCAGTCTTGGAGCTCCACTGTGGTTTACTGAAGCTGCTTAAGGTCAGAAGGTCACTGAGAGGCATGGCTGCTGCTAACACTGCTAACAGGCTGGGACCAAGGTTCAGCCTTCAGGATGCTTTCTGCCACTTTTTTCACTGTTATTTCCTGTTAGTCTGTATCTCAGACCACCACATGTTGATAACAGGCAACACCAACTCAGGGCTGTTGCTCTGAGGGGCCAGAACCCCCTTTCTGGGAAGCACTTCTGGAGAAATTCTGTAAATTAAAATATTGAGGCACTTCAATGGCATAAATAGTCAGAGAGGTGTGAAATTTGGTAAGAAGTATCCTGAAACAAGAATGTGGGGAAATAAGATCCTGGGGTTTACTCACATTCATTTCCAAAATATTCTGTATAACATCCCCGAAAAAGATAAAAAAAAAACAAAAAAAAACTCACCAGCTGCTTGACAAACTATCACAAATATTCATAAGCTTTAATATCAGCCCAAGATGATCTTTCTATCTTCAGAATGATGCTCGCTATGGCAGACACTCACTGTCCACTGACCATATAGTTTCACTTTGTAGTTCTACAGTCAGACTATAGTCCATCTGTTTCTCTGCATACGTTGTTATCCTGTTCTTCAGTGGTAAGGACCCCCACAGAGCCAGTATTATTTGGGTGGTGGTTCATTCTCAGCACTGCAGTGACACTGACATGACGTGATGGTGGTGTGTTAGTGTGTGTTGCACTGGGGCGAATGGATCAGACACAGCAGTGCTGCTGGTCTTGTGTTTGACACACTGCCTTTACGCTGTAAATGCTCAGTTGCACTGATAATTGATAATGGTCACCCTCAATGTATTTCTGAATGAAAATAAAGGTTGACATCCACAATATTCTCAGAAAAACTGTCATAACAATATATTATCCAGCTCTACTGTGAGCCAGCATGTTTACTATCATGGCATTAAAGATACTCGAGGCACCTTTACCGTCAGATTCACTGTGAGCTCATTCAGAGTGCAGTTCTGATCAGAGAGCCCTTATTGATTTGTTTACTTAAAGTAACGATAAAATAATTCTCATGTGTTTTCTTGTTCAAAAGGCAGACTGCGACACAAACCTTACCAGAATTCTTACCAGAATAGTGTCGGCTAAGGTCGTTGTGAGATATACCAACTGATCTTTTCTCCCAGTGTGATTTTTCTGTTTAAATTGTTAAATTGTTTTATTGTAGTTTTGTTTTCCTTTAATTTTTTTTACCCATGTTCTGTACGACTTGTTTTGTTGAATGTTATTGCACTATTTTGTAAAGTATAGTGTATCTACTGGACCCTAAGGAGAATAGCGGCTATTGTGATAGCGGCTGACGAGATCCTTAAAAAAAAAAAAAAAACAATAAAATAAACAAACAAACAAAAAAATAAACCAAATAAACTGAATAAAAATCTCAGTTTTTGGCTTTGTTAGATCACACAATGCAAAAAAAAAAAAAGGACGCATCCAGAAAGCACATTATTAACAGAGAAGAGCAGATTAAAAAGTCTTAAAAACGGTTAAATATAATGCATATATTTAATCAGAGAAATAAAAACTCTCAAAAATATACATATTTATAAAGATATTCGTTTTTATTCAGTGTTTCGGTAATAAATGTTGTGGTGCAAATTCATTCAGTCCCTCCCCCGACACACACACACACACACACCTGCAGTCGCCTGATCAGTAAACAGTGCTGTCCTCAGATCCGCACACTTAAACAAAATGTTTCATATATGAGAGAGTTCTGTTCCCTTTATACCAGTATAAAAACAGCATGTAAAAAATCTAAAAATAAACCCTAATTAAAAAAATGAAAGGTAAAAACACAAAATCCAGAATCCAGACAGTAAAATACATTCAGCTCTTCAGTGAGTCTCCCAAAACCAACTGTAAAAACCTGTAAAAAGTAGTTTCAGCTAAAAAGATGAGAATTTAGACTCAGTGTAAAGCTCACAGCTGAAGCTTCCTGAGGGGGAGCAGTAAAGCAGTCCTTACCACACTGCTATGGTAACGAGCAGTTCCTGCCCCTTAAATGACCTGCGGGCCAATAAGCTGCGCCGTGTCTGAGTGCTGGATTGTGGGGGCGGGGCTCTGTGTTATAGGGGCGGAGTTAGGGGCGGAGTCCCGTTTGAGGTTGAGGATGTGCTGCCGCAGGTGAATCAGCCAATCCTCCTGAACCGAGAGAGGACCTTTAAACACCTCCTCACAGAACCTGCACGCACAGGAGCACAGATTACATTGCATTAGATTAATTTACATTAAACAGTAGATTTACAAAAGTGCACCATGATTCAACGAATTAATTTTAGACCACTAAAAACAATTATAATCTAGTTATAATAACAATCAGTAAAGTATGCTGTGGATCATAAAAGACAAGAAGGCAAGCACAGTGTTTCCTTTCGTTTTTCATCCCATTACATTCTGACCATTATATCTGTTGGCCAATAATATCTGCTAACACTGATGATGGTTTTATGCGCAATATTTTCCAGTAATTTATAATGTGCTGACAGTCAGACAGTCAGACAGACATATGCTTGTTCTCTGAGGGAAATCTGGAAGGTACAGTATCAAAATCACTGAGTGTGTTAATAATCTGATCATAATCTCACCTGCACTTCAGTGAGTAAACTTTCCCCACCAGTTTAACCAGGCTGCTCTCCGGTGGGCGGGGCATGAGGGAGGGAGCGTTCCCCACACGTGGCTTCAGAGGCCCCGCCCCCAGTCTGCTGTCACTGTGGGGGATGTGCTTAGGAGGACGCCTCTCACAACCTGCAACACACAAACACGTTACCTGTAGAGATGAAACGATATTAAAATTTCATATCACGATTATCATGACCAAAATTATCACGATTATCGGTATTATCGCGATATTGTTCAAATGTGTTGAAAAGTAAAATAAATAAATAAATAAATAAATAAATAAATACTGATTCCCAAAACTGAAACTTGTTTCACCAACTTTTATATTAACACAAATAGAACTGGCAGCAATATGCACTTTTTTGTTTGAATAAACATTAAAAAAATATAGTCAATGCATTTGTAGTATTACTTTTGTATTACTTACAATACTTGTAATACTCTGTAAACAAAAGAATAGCAAATGTATTATTATTATTGCTGTTATTACTATTATTATTATAATTCTTAATGGAAAATGACTACTTCTAAAAAGTGCTGCACTCGGGGGATCTCTGTCCTAACTGCAACTGCAGCATTATTGTGCCGTTGTGGCGCTGTACCCCTAATCAATCCAGTGCACTAAGAAAAACAGCCAAAATCACAGAAGAATTGCATGACCGTGCTGTGAGCTGCAGACAGTGTAGAACTCACACAGCATGTCTTCACCTGTGGAGCTGCTTCTCTAAAAGCATTTTAAAACTAAAACATAACTTAAAATTAACACGCATCTGAGCTGCAGCAGAAACACTCCTAAAGTTTAATCTCTGAAACTCTGCTTTTCCTAAAATCAGCACACAGTAAACACTGCAAGCGAGACGAGAAAGGGGAGCTGTGCAGATTGAACTTCTGCAGCGTCTCATTCCAGAGCTTGTGTGAGTTAACTCAGAACTCATTTTGGAGACTCTGCTCCACAGAAATGTGTTAAAAGCTTTAGTTTCGATTCACAGTTGATTCACCGATGACGCTAAAAGCTTCATTTTATATTATTAACGAACCATAAGCATAAGTTAAACCACACAAACCATGACATCTCTTCTATTTTGAAGTCCCCACGGACTTCTACGTTAAAGTTAACCTTGCATTCTCTAAAGTAGCGGGTGGTGGTCGCGAAGATGACTCGTAAGGTTTGATGTGTTGCCCCCTTTCGCCGCTATTTTCTTTCGGTCTGTTCTGCAGACAGGGTGGCCATCTGCAGACAGGGTGGTCATCTTCAATTAACTTTCCTTCTGCATCCTCATAAAACCCAAAACAAGACCAAACGTCAGACTTGGTCTTCATAGAAGGCTGAAATATCTCTGAATCTCTGTCACTACATTCCGCCATGTTCTCCCCTCTCTCCCCCTTCCCCTCTACACACACACACACACACACACACGCACACACACAGAGCTACATCTGAGAGAATGATTCTGCCTTTGTTTGACTCTGTACAGCAAGGTTTTAACGATACTTTAAAGTTCAATTAATTCATTAATTTTACCGCAGTTTACCGTGAAACCGGTAACCGTTTCATCTCTAGTTACCTGTTTATTATAATTAACACATTTTACAGTCAGCATAGTTGAAACTGTCCTGCATTCCCTATCGGGAGGGAGTGTCCATCTGCAGGAGAATGAGCTCCTAACAAAGCCACATATGCTGAACAGGTCACAGACCAGCTGTTTATTCCACCTGAACCTGTACAGGACTGCACACTTCCTATGTCATATGTTTAGATTTCTTTGTGCTACTGCAGTGTGTAGATATGTTCTGTCTCTGAGTGAGTGTTTAACAGAATCAATTCTGTGTATGTAAAACATATCGGATAAACAAAAGACTCTGATTCAGCTTCTGATTTAACTTCAACTTCAGAGTCTGACTCAGAGTAAGCTTCAGCTACAGAGTCTGACTCGGCTTCGGATTCTGATCCGGAGTCTATTACAGCTTTAGAGCCTGATTCAACTTCAGCTTCAGAGTCTGACTCAGGTTTAGCTTTAAAGTCTGATTCAGCTTCTCACAGTGTCTGGCTGTGGAACTGGTGGCACTGTGTCAGCATGTGCGTGTGTGTTACCTCTGGCAGCAGTGTGCGTTGGTGTGTGCTGCGAAGCCAATGGTTTCCTGTGGGCAGAGGAAGTGGATGGTTGACCTTTGACCTCTCGTGCAGTTGCAGGGCGAGCGGGCTCTGGGTCAGAGAGCGAGGGATGAGGGGATGTGGAACTCCTCTGTGTGAGAGAACCCTGACTGTCAGAACTAGAACTTCAGGACAAAAATAATGCTAATTTCTGCTAGCGCTCCAGTGGGATTTTTTAGTACTTTAGCACTAAGCTAATGCCGGTGCACATAAACATTTTAGATTACACAAACATCTGAAGCTTGTAGAAGATATTAATTCATATCTAAACTAATATGTATGAGTGTTACAGTAACTCTTTCAGTAAAGAGCTGTAAAAAACATTGCTTAGGCTACAGCTCGTATTCACAGTCAGTGGCGTATCTAGAACCTCCAGAAGTAATGAAGCAGTCTTGCCTTCTTGACCACCTGAGGCAGTTCTCCCCTCATGTAGCGTTTGTGGAGCTCTGCCACTTTGCCCGGTTCTCTCTGCATCCACTCGGCCAGTGTCTCTATGGGAGAGCCATTAGTGTGCCAGTCCACCCCCTGCTGGCGGAGATGAGCACGTGCGTGACTCGCCAGAGCTTTTCTGTTCTCAAAGTCAAACCCGCACAGATCACATGTAGCCTCACACCCTGCAGGAGAAACACAAACACACACACACAGTAAAATATGTGCAGAACCCTGATAAAAGCTATAGTTCATCCACTGTCCTGACTTTAGGATAAACCCCAACAGTGTCCCAACTTCTGTTTAAGCATCCGTATTATCATTTTTAGGCAGCTGTGTCAGGCAGCATAGTTCACTACTAGCATAATGACGCTACATTTATTTATACTGTAAAACGCTGCTTTCACTGTAAGATGCTTTAATAACGTTTGTGTGCTCAGCTAACACATTTGGGAAATGGAGACTGAAACTGGGGAGCAGCAACGCTCTGATAAACAGCAGGGGGCGCTTTCACAGTATTCACAACTTACAGTTTATCACACTTTAGTTTTGTTTTGACCTTATTTACATCAGTAACAGCAGCTGTAATTTACATTTTTAACATTATTTTTATTATGTGTTTACATTTCAGGTGTGTATGTATGGTTGGTTGCTAGGAAACAAACATGACAGCTGATTATCGACTTTGATCGGGTAGGTCAAGATTTCCTGACTGGAGCAGATAAAATTCCTAAATTAAGATCAGATTTGCTTCTGTAATACGAATTTGTGAAAAATCTTATCTTGACCTGCCAGAGCTTAACTCAAGACTAAAGAGAGGAAGTTGGTTGTGTAATTTGGTTGGTTCCTGATCTACAGAGCTTTGAGGAGTCTGAGGCTCTGATTCAGCTCTGAAAGGAAAAACAGCATCAGTGCAAACGTTTTGGTTTTCGGCTCGTTTCCATTTCAAAAAGCTGAGTGGGTGAAGAAGCTTTATGGCTTTGGCGTCCCCATCTGACAGAAATGAAAACTGTCCTAGATATACTGCATAACTGACTGTGTTGTCTTAAATTGCAAATATTATTAGTGCATTTTGTGTCCATTATTCTCACCAAAAAAAAATTTCAGTGCATCCAAAGAAAATTTATTTCAGTTTCTTTTTGCCTCCAAAGTTTTAAAAAGATAATAGTGTAAAAATAAGTATAAACTCAAGTTGAAGGACAAAGGTTGCTACAGGTGTCTAAGTAGATGCCTGTTTAATTTAAATTAGCCTGAAAAGTCAGGTGACTCAAGCAGTCAGTCAGATGGAGCAACCAGACCAGCACAGTTTAATAACTGAGGCAATTTAAAGATTTGATAACACTCACGATATTTCAGATACAAAATGCACTGTATGTGATGCAGTGCAGGTGGACGTACCTGCAGCCATGTTGTCCAGCGAGTCTGTTTTCTCTGCAAAAAAGTCTACGGGTGAAGTTGTGAATGTTCGAGGTGAGGAGGTTGCCTTCCTCCACAACCCACTGGCCCCCGCTGCAGGCTCCGGTTTGACCTCTGACCCCTGCAGCGTTCCCTCCCTCAGCATGAGCTCATACAGGGTGTCGATGGGTGAGGCGTTGGGGGACCATCTGACCCCAAGCTGGCGCAGGTGGGCGCGGGCGTGGCAGGACAGAGCTTTACGACTGTCAAACATCTCACTGCAGTAATCACACCGAACCGGCATGGACAGATCGGCCTCCGGCTTCAGCACTGACACAGGCAAACGCACAGGCAAACGCACAAAGCGTTAATGAAGAACAGAGACTCAAATACCTGGTTAACTGTTCAAGGTGCCACTATTCAAACACTAAAATCATTGTTCAGGTATTAGTGTTTCCACTATATATATTTTCGCAAAATTATTGCTGCCAATGCTTCAGAATTTTATGAAATGTCATGAAGTTGCAGTTACAAAACTCTGCAGAGTGCTTTTAAGTTGAAACAACAGTTACAGGAAGTAAACATGGTGCGAACAGTCAGAGCCAAGTTGAGCTAAAGTGCTGAATGAAGGACGATATATATCTTGTTTGTTTAAGAGGTAAGACTGACGGCCTGAGCCTGATCTTCAGGAGGATGAAAGACCTCGTACAGAAGATGAGTCCTGTAACTGTATGTGAGCTGGTGAGGAGACAGAGAGGGTGCCTTACCTGTGCTGCTCTGGCTGCTGCTGGACACTGGGGCGGTCAGTGAAGGTGTAGTAGTGTTTTTGGGTTTGGGGGGTTCTACGACAGTAATGTTCTTCTCCACCGGCTCGTCCTTCGGTTTAGGCACCACTGTCCGTGAGCCTTTCCTGGCCTTGGGCACTCGGGGAGGGGCAGAGCCTGGAGCAATGGGGGCGGAACCAGGAGTCAGTGGGGGCAGGGCTGTGGATGGAGGTAGAGGACTAGTGGGTGTTGAGGGCAGGGGCTTTGGAGGCAGATCATGAGGCTTTGTAGGTAAGGCAAGAGGCTTTGTGGGCGTGGCAACAGGCTTTTCCAGAACACGGGACTGTCCAGGTGGAGTATATGGCTTTGTGGGTGAAGTATGAGGCTTCGTAGGCGTGGCACTGTCTTTTGTGGGTGGGGCATGTGGCTTAATGGGTGAGCTAAGTGGTTTCATGGGTGTGGCACTGTGCTTTGAGGGAGGAGCATGAGGCTTGGGTAAACTGGTTGTTCCACGGCGGGCCATCAGGTCCCTGAGCGTTGCCATGGGTGACCCGTGCACAGTCCACTCGGTGATGCCGAGCTGCCGCAGGTGAGAGCGGGCGTGGCTTGCTAAACTCTGACTCTTCTTAAATTTCTCATGACAGAACTCACAGCTCACGTCCTTCGACGAATCACCTGAAAGCAGAGATTACATCACATTCGTAAACCTTATTTCACATCATCAGATCAAGTTACATCATATATAAAGTTCTGAAGTTCAGAAGAAGCAGAAATGTAGGAAGCACTGCAGGAAATCTGATCACAGTATATTATTCTATGACATTCATTATCGACTTAGTACGTCAATTTTGGAAATAAATAGTGTTTTTAACTCTAAATAAAACAGACTATTTTATTAACAATACATAAAATGTGCTTTATCAAATGCTCTATTGCAATAATAATTTTAGCATTTTTACCATACAAGCCTAAAACGAGACCAAAAACTGCACCTGTACATTCACACAGATGACCTTCACTGCCTACAGTTAAATTAGACAATCAAATACATCAATACTGGGCAGCGTGGGCGTGTCCTGCCCCCTCACCGCCCACTTTACACCGACAAGCTGCACCAGATGTCAAAAGACAGAGACACACCAGCTGAACTCACCTTTCCGCTGAGCTTTCAGCCCAAATGCCTCCTCCTCTGGCTCTGCCCCCACCGCTGCAGCTGAGATTTTGATCTTTTTGAGGGGCGGTGGGGAGACAGGGGCAGTGTGTGGCCCCTCAGGCAGCGGCGAAGACGGCGTGGGCCGTTTTGGGGCAGCTCTGGGGGGAGTGGACGAGGGAGGGTTGTCATCGAGCTGCAGTGGGCTGACCCTCCCGCTCTGCTCCTCCTTCAGCAGCAGCTCATGCAGGATGTCAATCGGGGCGCCTTTGGAGTCAATCTCCACCCCGAACTGCCGCAGGTGAGCCCTCGCGTGGCTGGACAGGCCCTTCCTCGTCTCGTACCACGCTCCGCACAACTCACAGACATGAACGTCGTCCCTCAGTGAGGGGTCCGTCATCGCCGCTGCATTAAGAAACATTCAGTACAATTAGCTTACATATGCATATTAAACATTTCGCTTTACAGAAGAAGCAAAAAACATAGTGTACTTTTAATGTAATTCAATGGAACTAGACAGTTGTACAAGTCATTTTGGGCCGTTTCTTTTGTTCATTCTTAATGAAATTTACACACAAAATAAAAGGCAAAAATTATTTTCAAATTATGGCAAAAACTGAAAAATGGATAGTTTTGTTCTGACAGTGACGATAAGCACATTACATATACCCACTTATATACAAAGATTAAAGACCAAAAAGTGTGGACATAACAGTGTTTAAAAAAAAATCTTGCAATTGTACTTTTTAAAGACATAAACAGTAAAAGGGGTGCAGTACAGTTTTCATAACATTTAAAGCATTTTAACACACATTTTTCACCATTAAACACACACAAAACGTGATCATTTTCTGACCACAGGACTGCTGTCAACTGGACATTTGTGGTTAGCAACAGCTGTGGGCTGAATAGGTTTACTACTGTAAATTGAATGGATGGATAAACGAAAATGGTGTTTAATTCGCATATATGTACTGTATAAACTGGGGAGTGAACAGTGCTGTGAATGAATATTTCTGAAGCTTTAAACAATCACTGATTTATGAGTCCTGAGTGCAGTCAGGCTGGTCTTACTCACTGAGGTTCAGCGGAGCGTCTGTTTCCTGAGGAGCCCACATGGGTTTGGAGGAAGCTAGAGACAGAGACGGAGACAGAGGTGGAGATACAGGACCTGGAACACTCTTTGGCTCGGTGGGCACTTTACGGGGTTTATCAGGTTTAATGGGGCTCAGTTGTGGGGGGGAGGGGCCGGGTGACAGTGGGGCTGACCCTGCAGATGGAGACTTACTGTACTTCTTCACCAGGGAGGCAATTTTAATCTTGAGTTTGGTGGTGGAGTCCTTTTTGGGGCTGGGGGTTTTAAGTGTGGAAGACTGGGGGGTTTTAGGGGTGGGGGCTTTGGGAGTTTTATGGGTGGGAGTCTGGATGGTTTTAAGGCTAGGGGTCAGGAGGGATTTGGGGATTTTGGGTTTTCTGGGGGGTTTGTGAGTTGGTGTTTTGTCCGAGCTGGCCTTAGGGGAGGGATAGGGCAGTTTTCCGTCTCTCTCGCGGATGAGCTCGTACAGCAGGTCAATCGGAGCGCCGCTGCTGTCAGACACGGCCACACCCAGCTGCCTCAGGTGAGACCTGCAATGACTGGAAAGTCCTCGCTTTGTCTCAAAACACGTTCCACAGACCTCACACAAATGCACCCCTGCTGCTGCAACACACAAAGCAAAAAATATAGCAAAACAACCAATACATAATAGAATTATTATGTGATATGTAATTAAAATAATACAAAACAACACATCACAATGACAATACATAGCATACTGAAATATTTCCTTAAATATACAGAATCATGTCATTTGGCCTCCTGACAGATAGATAGATAGATGTCCTTGATCTCTGATGTATGATGAATGAAATGTCCCTCCACCACCTGCACTCACATTCATTCTCCTCAGCTGCCGATGAAGAGCCGGTGCCAGGCATTGAGTGGAGGGGAATGCTGGTTGTGCTTTTCCGGGCTGTTTCTGGAGCTCTCTCCATCCCTGCAGTCCCTTCGTTACCCTACTAAGAAAAAACACAGCAGGGGATGAGCTTTTTGTCCATAACCGACTGTACAATTTTCCAGCCGCCAGAATGTAACTACTGCAGCATTTAAGGTGGACAATTGGAATAAATAGCTGAAAAATAAGAAAACACACTTCGGCATGATCTTTAGCTGCAGTGAGGGGGTAATTTCTAATATTATAATTGCATCTGCGTTCTCTTACGTGTGCTTTAATCATAATAACCCACATTTCTGACTCATTCAAACTGAAAACATGTTTCTGCTCGTGTCTCGAGTCTTATTTAACAAAACATCACTAAATAAATACCATATGTTAAACTAATGCTCATTCTGGATGTGCTACAGTGAGACAAACGCTATTACAGTGATAAAATTCAATGTAACATTCGCACACGCCTCGTTAGCCACATGCTAGCCGAACACGCAGCTAAGGCTAACGAAAGTGTCTGAATTAGCGAATATATCAAATCTACCGAGCCGCAAGTCGCGTAGTGATCAACAAAGTATATATAATGCTGTAAAATAACTATCTTAAAAGAGTTTTGTGGTTAAAAACCGTATTTTTTACCTGCACAACGTGTTTACGCTACTGTTTGGGTTGAGTGAGCAGCAGCCCTTCTTCATCGACACAGCACAGTCGAACCTCACCGAGGCAGACAGAAGCAATCGATCAGCGCGGGAAACGGTGGGTTGCACCAACAACTATTAAGCTTTGAAAATAATCAGGGTTACGTTTCAACTACCATTTTAATCCTGGGTTACTTTTAGAGTAAATCTAGATAAAATTTAACACTTTAAACTCATTTGGTTAAATTTAATCCTCTAATTTTTACGTTTACAAAATGTGTTTAAAAATTGGGTCATCATACACAACACTTTGAGTAAAACTAAGCTCCATATAACATAAAACATAGAAAACTTATAAGAACTTTGTTGTAACTCTCTCACTGATGGTTAACGTTTTTCCCCACAAGGGGACGCTACTAGCGCCCATGTAGTGTTTGTGTGCATTACTGAAATAGAAGAAAATAAACGTAGCAGATCTAAATAATGCACGTTTTACAGTTACAAACTGCCTGTAAATGAAGTAAACAACTGACAGACTGAATATCCTCCAGATAAGAATGTGGCTTTGTTGAACTAGTTGATCTAGACCGGTGGTCGGCAACATGTTGCTCTTTAACTGTCCCCTTGTGGCTCCACAGCAGAATCGTAATTTTAGGTAATAAAATAATCCTCCCTAGCAGTAAAATAAAGCGTTGCTGATTGTTCTAACACAGTTCTAACACTGTTATAACAATCAATAGTCTTAAATGCTGGAATTAATGTATAACTGCTAATTTACAAACCTTCTGCTGGTCACAGCAATGCAGACAACAATCTGGCCTAGCTAGTAGCTAACAAAATGTCAAAGAAGAGAAAGATTTAAGATGAGCATTGAGAATTTAGAGATAAATGAACACTTATTTGCACTTATAAGCACTTTATGTTTAATCTGCAACGAGAAACTGTCAAACACAAAGTCAAATGTTGAGAGACATTTTACAAGAAACTGTTCTATTTTTGCAGGTTTAGTGTATATTATAAGCAGCTTTAGTGTATGTTGTAAGCAGTCTGATCAGTGCTGGATAGACAGCGCCCCTCTGGGTCTAATAACAAACTGTTTAAATGTCTTATTCCGCTCTCTGTCTGTGAGAGCTGTTTCTGATGTAGCTCTGAGCTTGTTTACACTCAAAAATGGAAAAAAGTAACTTACAGACAGAGATTAGTGTGGACAGTAATGTTGTTGTTGTTTATATACTGCTGAATACATCATGGTGGACAATCAAAATGTTGGCAGGTCACAGTTTTAATCACACATTAAATCTTTAATCACTGATTTGTTAATACATGTTTAAGATTAAGTGGTGTTACACAACTTAATTGACAATGAAACCTAAATTAAATTCTCAATTAGCTCTAAAGTTAGTTTAACTTAATCCTTGTTGGTGCAGCCCACCCTCACACCCACAGACTAACAATAACAAGCAAGCCTACAGAGGAGAGGTCAAGAAATTGGAGTGCTGGAGCCGGGACAACAACCTCGCTCTCAACTCAAAAAAAGACCAAAGAACGGAACTTGGACTTCAGGAGACTGAAACAAAACGGTCACTGTCTCTTCAGCAGGGTGGAGGCAGCTCAAAGCTTCAGATTCCACCACATCAGCCGAGACCTGACATGGTCCATCAACACAGTGATGGCTGAGGAAGGTCTTCAGAGGCTTCACTTCCTGAGGGACCCAAGTCTAACTCCCACGACTTGTACATGAGACCATAGAGTCCATCATCACAAACTGCGTCACTATGTGGTACTCGGGCTGCACCTCAGATTGCAGGAAGCCACTGCCCTCTTATAGCAGCATCACCACAAGCTCTGACTGCACTACGTCCCAACCACTGTGACTGTTTCTATTATTATTATATCACTAACCTTAAAGTGCAATAATGTATCTCAGCTTTGACTGCAGCAGAGCAATCCAAGGGGGAGAATACAGGGGGTCCCCCCAATTAATCCTTGGGCCCCCTGAATGTCAAAATCAAAGTTGTGTGGGGAAAATGAACTTGACATTATTCTGTCCAGTAGAGAAAATTGAGTCAGACACTTTATCCTGTACAAATCAGCCGATCACATTCCCAGAATTTCCATACCTTCTGGCGTTTAGGTGTTTATGCCTTACCTCATTTAACCTCTCTGAATGTCTAAATGATGCGTTAACACTAACACAAAGCACAAAATATTTCATTCACCACGACAAAGCCAGATTTGGGGTTTGTTTTTTTCACAAATTTATGAATCAAGACATTTATAAGCATATAAGATGAATATCTATACACTTATATAAGAACATGAAATCAGTACATACAACCAAAAGTAAATATTTAAAATGTAGATGATTTCTTCTTTCATTTCTCATGAAATTTAATATACAGCGGAGGGATTCAAGCCAACAGGCATTAAAATGATTTATTCAGATAGAAAAAGACACATTATAAAAGTTATTAAACATGCTGAAGATACACAACATTCACACTGTAGATATACGGTGGTGTGCAAAAGTTTGAGCACCCTGAAATTTGAGCTCCTGTTGACTGTCCAAGTGTAAATAAGTTACATCCTCTACAGAGACACATCACTGCACACTTTAATACACAATCACTATTCATTTGTTTAACATATAGGAAATATACACACACAATTTATTATTTTTTCCAATTCATTTTTTTCCAATTTGATTCAGTTTTTTTATGCAGATAACGAAAATAAGGCACATGGATAATATTCAAATAACATTCATGCCTAAGAAATATAATGGATCAGATCACAGAGGATAAGTAAATCGATTAGAAAGTGAGGTACATTCAGCTGTTTTATTTCACCTCTTTAATCAGAATGCCATACGGGCGAATGGACTCCTCTGCGATCTTCTTCGCCTCCTCCAGTGAGGTTCCCTGAGGAACCGGGATGAGCCAGTAGCCCTTTGTCTCTTTGATGATCTTTCTCCTTTTAGGGTTGATTCTGTTCTGCATGATGACCTTGTAAGTCTTTCCCTTCTCGGATGTGAACTTTGTTGTGAACTCTTCTGCGATCTTAATGTCAGGTGTTGAGTAGATTCCTGTGCCATAAAGATCTCGGAGACCAGCTTTGAAATGGGAGCGTGCAATGGCTTTGGCTCCATCTTTGCTGGTTCCATGGAAGGAAACTGGCCACTCACCGGGTGCAGACTCACTCCTCCATCCTCCGGGCCCCAGCCAGGTATTCCCATTAGGATACTTATCCAGAACCCTCAGAGCGTAGCGGTACCACCCCCAGGGCCGTGCGTACTCTTCTCCACCGCGGGAACACTTAGAAGAGTCTGAGCCGTGTCCGAAATCATAATCAAACGTCCGGTCGAAGAACTTGTCCATGTTCACAAAGAGCTCCTTTCGTGAATCTGGGATGCTGTGTGTATAGCCGTCTACAGCTGGGTTTTTAGGTGAGAATATTTTAATTTGACCTGCACCATCATTTAACACCTGTGACTGAAAATCTAGATCAATTAGTACAGACATAAAATTTTCAACAGTCAGTTCATTCACTGCAGCGCCTCCTCTTCTGATCTCGTTGAGTCCCGCGTCTTCTACTGTGCGTCTGCTGGGTGCGGCATCTCCTATTCTGATTGTGTTAAGCAGAGGGTCTGCTAATGACATGACTTCTCTAAATGGTCCCTGAAGTGAGAAGAGCCTTTCTAAGGGTCCCTGGGGTGGGACATCTTCAGGCAGGGGCTTCACGGTGACCCCAAGCAGAGCCCCTAGAGCCTCTAGAGCGAGCTGGCTGTCCATCTCAGCAGTGGTTCACTCAGACTGAGAGAGGCAGTGGATATACTGAGATGTGCAGTCGTGCGGACTCAGAGAGGAGAGAGGATTCACATTTTTATACACTTACTTACTTTTACTTTTACTTTCACTGTGAACATGCAGCCTCTTCTGTCTTAACTCTCTCCACCCCAGTAAGCTGCTCGCCATTTTGGGAGGATGATGTGAAGTTGAAGATCTGACTCAGCAGCTCTGTTAATATAGAGTCCTTACTGGAAACATCCAGCATCCAAAAGCAAAAGTGAAACTGTTCAGTAACTCTCAAAATTTCCTCTTTATGTGTGCTGGAAGCAAGAAAAAAAACCCTAACATCCCTGTGTTACACTGAATATTTCAATATTTTAATGTGGATTTGAAAATTCAGTAATTAAAAATTGATTGAGTAATTGAAAATTCAGTAATTAAAAATAACTACATACTCTATTTTATTTTATGATAAAGATAAGGTAAAATACCATTTTAAAAAATAAAAGGGAAAAAAATAGGAATTGTTTGCTTGGACTTCTGTGGGCCCAAGAACAGCAGCCCCACCAACATATGGTGAGAATAAAATGAATTGGCTTAGATGGAGCTGATTCAGTTCTAGTTTAAGCTGTAGGTTCAGTCAGACTGTCTATGAGTTTAATGCGTTGTACATTTTCATTTCATTATCACAGACACTCTCATACAGAGTGACTTACAGTTTAATCAGATTACAGAGATAATTTAATCATAATACAGTAATGTGAGGGTTTCACCAAACAACTCAGACAAGATCAAGATCTGGTCCATGACTCAGCTCTACTGAAAACCCAGCTCAAAGGACAGTTTGGCAAAGAAAAACAGCAGCTCTGCGCTTAGCTCAGGCCACAGCTCCTACTCAGCATACAGCCTTAATCTCTCCTTTATCTCTCCTTCATCTCTCCTCTATCTCTCCTTCATCTCTCCTGTATCTCTCCCTCATCTCTCCAGTATCTCTCCTTTATCTCTCCTTCATCTCTTCTCTATCTCTCCTTCATCTCTCCTGTATCTCTCCAGTATCTCTCCTTTATCTCTCCTTCATCTCTCCTCTATCTCTCCTTCATCTCTCCTGTATCTCTCCTTTATCTCTCCTTCATCTCTCCTGTATCTCTCCTTCATCTCTCCTGTATCTCTCCTTTATCTCTCCTTCATTTCTCCTTCATCTCTCCTGTATCTCTCCTTTATCTCTCCTTCATCTCTCCTGTATCTCTCCCTCATCTCTCCTTTATCTCTCCTTCATCTCTCCTATATCTCTCCTTCA